CGAAGAAGACCACTCAGACCCGGATGAGCCACATCCGAATGTCTACGCTCGAGCCTATGATCCAAACCTGGATCCTAATCTGAGATAAGAAAAGTCTCAGAGTTTCACAATAGTGAATCACAAGTCTCTAACAAGAGCACAATGAGTGGCTGCATAATTCGGTAGTAGAATATCACCAGACCTGATCTTGTACAGATGATCTCTCTGACAAACATGCATGAGTGTGTGCGCAAAAGGAGTGGAGTTTACTCAGCAGTATACTTCAGTGCTATACCTAGCATACTTAATATGCTGTTTTTATAATGAGTCCAAAAACTCCGCAACTGTGACAGTGGGCATAACAGTATATGTTTGAATGTGCGGCCATGCTTTCGGTAAAAGAAAATTAGTGTCTGTTTGAAATCATAAACCTCTAAAGGGGTAGCTCTAACAGGTACCTACAGCAATGGCTGCATGCTCATACATATACATCCCGCTGCCCATTGGCTCAAGTGGTTTTACCATATTGAGACAAGACAAGCTCTCCTTGCGTAGCAAGACAAAACAACTACTGTCCGTGTGCAGGGCGCTGCCCTTTGATCCTTAGGGAATAAACTGGTCATACACCTCCTTACAAGGAGTATCCCTTGGGGGTGTATCGGCACAGGGGGGAGGGGGGGGGAGGGGGGGAGGGGGAGGCGAGGGGAGGGGGGAGGATGGGGGGAGGGAGGCCGGAGGGGGGGGGGCGAGGCCAACAAATCAGGTAAAATGAGGGGAAGCCGGGCAAGGGGGTGGCAAACGAACGCAAAAAGCGGGTGTCACCAATCATTTGGGCTGCAGGGAGGAGGATTAGGTGGAGGGTACCTGAGGTAACCACCAAGACGCCTGGGCCTCTGGCCTCGGCGGATATACAGCATTAATACCCGCCTTAGTCTAGTTGAAGACAAGACAAGACAGTACAATCCAATGCAGCACAAGGTATGAAAGCACAGTATAACATATACAAATATACTACAACATGTGCAGATGCACAAGATTTTGCTGACAAGTTTTACGTCTTCATTTGTGAACATGTGAGCGGACATCGAGGCATTGTCCATTCGGATGACCGCCTTGTTGCATCAATATGAGCTATGTTTCCAACCTGTATGTTGAAGCGCAACCCTATGGCTCAAGAATGTGCAGTCGTACCAACATAGCACGACAGCCGTTCATTTTCGGTGATCTAGCCGATCAAGTGCCAAGTTATCCCCTTGCAGGACTCTCGGATCTGAGCGGTCTTGGAGTCAAAACAGCGTGAGCGAGATCTGCTCCGTGCCGCGGAGTAGAGTTTGGAATCAAAAGGAGATTAGAATCCATCCCCTGCAGCAGTTGCTATACCACTGAGACGTTCAAGGTAGCGGGAGCCTCAAGTCAATACAGAGCCCTCACGCAGGGTGTCAGCCGTAGGCTCTGCCGTTTGGGCCCTTTCCCTTTCCCGCCGACTATCAGTTCGAGATGACGTCGGGATCAAGTGCAGATACGACCATGACATGTGGTGGTGATGGGGCATTGGCTCTTCCTGCTGTTGGAGAGTTAAGCCAAAAAGTCGGAGGACCGTTGTCTGTAGACGACAGCACTACCGCGGAAGAGAAGAACAAACAACCTGCCAGCACCGCACGAACGTCAGTCATGAAATCAAGATCATCGGCAAGATAAGCCACAAATTCCCATAAAGAAGCCCCGCGAACAGCCTGCCCTTTACCTGTCCATGGCCTTGCTGTGGGGAGGCATGCGCCCAATCACAGAACCTGTCACAAGCCCTGTCCGCCCTGTGGTAGCCTGTGTCCGTATGCCCTGTCCGCCCCTGTGAATAGGCCCTGTCACAAGCCCTCTTTCTCCGGCTCTGTGTGTAGATGTCCGTAAGCCCTGTCCAACCCTGTCATAGCCCTTGTCATAGCCTGTCATGGGCCCTGTCAAAAAGCCATGAAGTTCACAGACCCGCTCGATATCGGGGAGGAAACACCTGCATTTAGGACGGACTATGAGAGCGGGGGGCTTGTAGCCCTCGATTTTGGGAAGACTATGAGTGGGTTGCGGTCTTGGGGGTGGGGGGGTTTCATTGGGGGGTTGAACTTGTGTGTTGGAAAGGACGTTTTTGTTCATGTCTGCACCGCTTCAGAGAGTTTGCAGTCTAAAAAACAGCGGGAGGTTGGGGGGCGCACCCCCCATTTGCAGAGATTCCAAATCACTCGTGATGCATTTTATTTTCTTGGCTTTTAAGCCACCTGAAGCGTTTTCGCGTGGCTTTCTCCTTGGTGTGTGTTGGAGAGGGGGGGTTAAAGTCCTGCATTTAGGAAGACTATACGGGGGAGGTGGCTCGTAGTCTTGGATTTGAACGAAGTATGAGGGTGGGGGGGCTCGTAATCCTGGTTTTGGGCGATGTCTGAGGGGGGGAACGTTCATTTCTTCGCGGCTTTAGAGAACAGGCTTTCTAGAGACGTAGCAGTCCACCCATGAGGATGTTAATGAGGTGGCAAGCCGGACAAGGGAATCCCTTCCACAAAAGCAAGAACAAAGCCGGCTAAGGCTAGGAAAGGCATAGGAAAAATGAAGCCGGACAGAATCAGCTGACGCCAAAGCGAAGAAGGGCAGTCGATACAAATTCCACTTTTCCAGATGGAGGGTGCCGAAAATGGTTCTTACATCCATTCGAACAAGACACCTGAGGCGTGGATCGGCAAGAATGAAACAACCACCCCGTCTTCGGACCCTTCTGCGCGACCGTGTTTCCCGTTCACGAAGAATGGTTCACGCAGCAGGGCGACTTGGGAAGGCTAGGACCAAACCCACGGCGGAGCCAGAAGCCGAGGCAGAGGTTGAAGCTAAGAAGGGGCCGAGTGGTAAAGCCAAAGCAGCTGCGGCGGCACCCGCTAAAATTCTCGGGCCCCTGCGGTCCGACGTACACAGACAGTCTCACCGACGATGAGGAGGTTGGGTCGCCTGCGGCGGTCATTGCCCCCAAGACTGAGCCTGGCGTTCTCACAGAAACCGTGAGATCTCACAAGGAACGAGGAAAGCCTGTCAAGAACGCTGACGTGAAGTCCGTCGTTGAACACGAAGAACGAGGCAACGAGCGTGACTTCGAAAGGCATCGGGCAAGAGGAAGGTTCAGCTTGTGAAGGGCATGGTCAACTCCATCACGGAGTTCGTCTTCGACGAAGATGCTGACGACTTCAGTGAGAGAAAGCAATCGAAGGACGAACGCCAGGAAACTCTCGCAAGCAATCCGAAGATGTGCTACGTGGCTTCGATCCAAGATCAAGTTCAACATGGCTACGGTGGTGTGGTCATGACCTCATATCCCAACAAAAGGCGGGCAAGCTGTCACCCCAGACCGCTAACGGAGTTACGGAGTCCGGCATGATCGCAACGTTCCAGGCGGAATCCTTCAAGCAACCGGTTGATGGCACATGCTTGACGATACACCTTCCGTCCTATCCATGGGCAAGAGATGCATTAGCCAGGGATACGCTGTCGTCTGGCCTCCTCAACGTGAGCTGTGCGTGGTCGATCCGTCGAGGGAATGCCCGTTGACGGAGGTGACGCGGATCTCGGTGAGGACGCGCCTACCGATGACGAACCAGATGAAGTACCTGGAGGAGAGGAAGTTCTTGAAGCTGAAGCGGGCAGACCTCCTGATCCGCCCGAAAGTATTTTAGGAGGAATCGGAGAGATGCCAGAATTCGGTGGCGAACATGAAGTAGATGTGCAGGGTGAAGAAGCACCACTCCATCGAGCGAAAGTGGGCACTCTGTAGGCTGAAGCGAACGCTCTGGCACATCTATGCACGCACCAAAACCGCAATCCTTGTTGCAAAGCTTGTGTTCGAGCAAACATGAAGCACTATTGAACGGGACGAGGTGGATTCTGGAGAGAACTAAAACTAGAAGTTTGGGGGGGTCTCATTACCGTCGACTTCTGGGACATGCGCAAGGCAGCCGACATGAGCAGCCGACAGGGGCCTTGGTCTGGAAGACGAACTGGGGGAAATTCTGGTCGTCCGGGATCTGTCCACGAGGGCAATCGCCGCGATTCCCACGGAGTCCAGGTATACAGATCAAGTTGTCTATGCGGTCAGTCAAGTCGACATCCAATGATGAGGACCACTCACTACCTGCACTACCTGGTTTGCCGAAGAGCAATTCTCTTTCTGGACACACAAACCAACCGGTGATCAACGCCGGCTACATCCCTGCTGCATGCCGGGCTACCTGCGCAATATTGGCTCTATGCTCTGATTTGCGTAACACACAACCTCAACATCCAGGATGTCAAAGGCGATGGTGACTCAGCATGAAAATGACTGACAGGGGAAGCCTTCAAATGTAAGGCAATACCTTTCGGGGCAATGCGTGTTCTTCAAGCCGACCGACACTCGAAAGCCGTTCATTCGCGGTGCCTTACCACAAGTGCCAAGCTATCCCGTTGCACAAACTCAGATTTGAGTGCGCCTGGAGTCAACACAGCGCGAGATTTACTCTGTGCCACGGTGTATAGTTCGGAAATGTTTGGAATCAAGCCCGCGCGCAGAACATACAATATTACTTAACATGATACTTCATGGTACCATGTAATATCATATGGTGTACATCTAACCTAGTCGAACTTAATCTAATCCAGTCCAACCTCATGTAGGTTAACCCAGTCCCATCCAATCTAATCTTCACCTCATCCAGTATATTGTAGTACAGCAGAATACAATTGGGCTTAGTTGTGTTGAACTCGTTAGGTAACCCGATGAACGGATATCAGTTCAAACGACCAAGTAGCAAAGCACGTGCACGTGATGTTCGAGTGTGGGTAGGTATAGTGAGTAACGCAACCGTACAGGCAATAGTCAGTAGTATCGCTGCGACAACCAAGACGGGAGCCTGTGGTGACGTAGAGGGGCCGGAGAAAAGGAAAGGAGCATGTAGGGATGGGGGTACCGTAGCGCGCCAGGTTCTAAGTACATGACCAGTTGCAGTGAATTGTTGCAGGAGCTTTTGCAACGGATGTGACCTATGGCGCCACACCTTTGCATTTCAGCAGCATTGGCAAGAGGTGAATTTACAAGGTTCAGAGAACCAAGATGACTTCCCGTAGGTTCACTCCGTAGATTTCTCATGATCTCTAATCATTGCACCGAGCATTCAGCAGGGACTGTTCTCGCAGTTTCGCACCCCAAATGCAACTTTGAAGTAATCCTGTGCAGACCCGTCAGAAGTCAGCGGCAATTTTGGGGGGCCGCGCCCTCGTTGCAAAGTAGCCTCAAACCCTACACCATACACAGCCGAGGATCGCTACAGCTAACTTCGGCTTGTTCGAAAATACGAAATTGCTCTTGGAGGTGTCGCCAGAAGCACTTCCGGTTGTCGACGTGTACCTGGGTCGTCATTGATAAGACTTCTTAAGCATTGTGAACGAACGGCGCTTCTTTCAGTTGTGGGTTCGGACTGGCAGGTTTGGGAAAACAGCTTTGCATGTTGCAGCAGATACTGGACATTTTCACATTCTCCAGCTTTTGCTCGGACACTGGCCTGAAGGGTTGTTTATCAAAGACATGAATGGCCAGACGCTCATGAACTATGCAGCATGCGGCGTTGTTATTTCGGTGGGCTGCAACGGCACCATGCTGCAGCCTTGGAAGGAGGTAGCCTTGAGCTTGGAATGTAAGCACTTGGACCTGCTTTCGAAGCAGGACCTGGAGCTTTGGCTGCAATGCGGTGGTGACCTTCGGCTTCAACCTTTTGGGACACCACTGCTAAGCCACCTGAAGGATGAGGAGGCTGTTCAGTTTTGGCAGGAGCGTGTGGAATCTGAGCTGTCCGAGACGATTGTGGAAGACTGGGGCACTTGGATAGCTCTAAGCGCTGCCCTCGTTGCTGCTGTTGCAACCGTAGGCCTGGAGCTACAGTATATTCTACTACATTATAGTGTAGTGATTATGGAGAAGTACTTTATTTGAGAACACTTTACCATACTGATACTATACTCATACCTGTGGACAGACTGTAGGGTATTGCAGCCCTAGGCCTGGAGCATTTGTATGCCAAGCTCTGGAAGCCAGCCGGCGAAGCTGAGCGCAGTCAGTTTCAGCTAGGTGCCAGTACATTGGCGTGCAAGGCTTTCGGGGCCAATGTGGGGCTTCGCAAAGGCTGGCGTCTACTCGAGGTCTACTGGTTCATGCTACTTGTTGGCTTGCGTCCGATGATTTATTATTGGGCATCATGGTATCCACTCATAGCGGTGCTTTATGTCGTCCCCGGCATCATTGCCTATGGCGCGATGGCAGTGCTCCGCAACCCAGTGCTGATCCTCACCACAAACAATCTCGCCAGCTATGTGTTTGCCCTCCTGCGGGTGATAGTCCTTCAGATTCTGAACCATCTTGTGCTGGATTATCAGTTGGGACGTTGGTTCAGATTAGCTGGAAGTGAGACTGACCTCATGGTCCGTCCAATAGATCCCTCCTATTGGCTATCTTGGCTTGCTAACCCGGATTTTACAACATGGTTTGCGCAAAAGCCCTTGACGCTTTGGCGGGCGAGCAACTTGCAGGACGACATCCCCTGGGCACCATCCATGATGGCCAACGAGATCTTTGAGGTTCTGAATGGTATTGCCGACTTTGGTCCGTGGCTGTATGGCTTTTGTCTGCTGGTGGCAATTCTGCACAGCTTTGGAAGGCGTCATGCTCGAACAGCAACACTTTGCTGTGGAGACCTGGGCCAAAGCATCACGAGCCAGGCACATGAGATTCAACTCGCAGTTCAGGAACTCCTTCAAAAGGAAGTTGGGCAATTTCGCGAAGTGAACGCGAAGATCAAGCCGGTGGTAGGCTGGGCGTGGCCTTGGCAGGACGTCGGCATCTATCCCAGAGTTGCCTTCATGTTGCTGGACATGGCCCTTGACATCAACACAGTCGTTGCATTCTTCTCTGAGGGAAGCACCGGGTTTGCTGGCATCATGGCTTTCGTGGTGGCACGAAGTATTCTGAATCAGATGCGCATTCTTCGGCCATGGAACCTCCAAAAGGCCACCGAGCAATCCTTGCAGTCGTCAGCCAGCTTCAAGTCATTGGGATGTTTACATTGTAGGCATGCACGTTGACATTGACTGCTTTGTTGGGCGATTGTTATTCGTGAGCTGTGTAGAGTAGGAACAACCGCCATGTACAAAGGAATAAACACACGGCGGTTGCGCACGCAATCAATCTCAATTGCCCAGAGGCGAAAGCAAGGTAACTTCCGAAGTGCATATCTCTAGATCCGCTCGGCACGCTTCCCACTCACCCTAAGTCGCGTCTTTGGGTTGACGCTCCCAGCCTTCAGCAAGACACTAGCCGGTTCACCGGAGTGGCTGGCAGAGCATCCGTAAAACTCGTATCCTCTGACGCTGCGGTGACGGCAGGCGATCCGTGCCAGTATCGCAAGAGGAATTATGCGGCAAGACCTCCTGGACTTCTTCATGGCTACTTTGCAGCCAGTAGAAGCCTAGCAAACGTCCTCGTGAACATTTGCCTAAACGCTGACAGAGAAAGTATCGAGCAAGTTCCTCAATGTTTTTGATGGCCCGAGAAGGAAATGAAGCGGAGTCCTGATGTCTCGAAAATGCACATTCTGCACAGCCGGACTAAGGAGGAGAAGCGGTCCGAAGGTCTGGTTGCTGCCGTGCTCACCGGTTGGTCGATCCTCTTATCAGTCTCGGCCTCTCAGATGCTCCTGGGTCCAACTTGCTGTGTTTAGGGTACTCCTTAGATGCTAAACCCTACTCCTTGGTTACTCCCCCCCCCCGGATCAGCCTTCCCCGTGCTTGGGACCGGCTACTTTGGGTTTCAGGCTTTGGGCTTATGCATGCAGTCATGGGGCAATCCAGAAGCGAATAGGCTTGTGGACGAACTCATGAAGACTACAGGACGGCGCAGGGTTATGACGACGTCTGCAACGTCTCCGGAGCACACCAAAATGGGGGGTTTCCGAGAATTACGGGGTTACCTTATTTTGGGTCCTGATAAAAGGATCCTACTATTTAGGGTACTATATGAGGGCCCCCTATTTTCGGAAACTCCCAAATCCTCTAAGATACAAGGACCAGGGACTCCCTCCTTCATTGACAGGGCCGTCGGAGTTGGCATTCCTTTTTTTTCTGGCAAGACAGGGGTCTAAATAATTACAAAAGACTATTTAGTTTAATATGTCCCAAAACCCTATTCTAATGATTAAGGCCCCTATTTTACAGAAAAGACCCACGAGGTATCATGGACTGGACCTTTTCAATTCGGTTGTACGGCCCGTTTATACCGGTAGACACGTTGTCGTCCGCGCAGACCGATCCATCTTGTACTTAAAGGATCATGGACTTAGTAACTAGGGTTTTATTGGGGAAACTTGTAGTTAGTTATAACTTCAGTTAATGTACTTATCATGATCCTTCTTGTAGAGCACTCCCACCATCCAAGAAGAGCAGATTTTCTCAGCAACCCTCGACATGTCGACATTCTCCGATCGAGGCTGCTGCAGACATTCAGCTGGATCTTGAGCATGTACTCAGTTGGAGGCGGCTTCTTTTGGGTGGACCGTAGAACCCTGAAGCTTGCAAGTGGGATTTGGTCTCGAGTCTAGAGGCTAGAGAGAGCCTTTGTTGTTCGTTGCGTTAGAGGAACTTCGCATTATCGGAGCAACCAAGGTGAGGTCATGCAGGTGCTTGGGTGAAACAGAATTTCAATAACAGAAACAGACTTTCAACATCAGAATGTTGTTTTCACCCTTAGAAGCAAATAAAACCGTAAAATGGGGTTTCAAGGTATGCCTAGGAACATCGACCATTAAACCCTAAACCCCAACAGGCGATGTTAAAGCCACGGGGGCCAGCCGTCAGGGTCTGCAGCTTCGGATTGAAAGTCAGCCGCTAAACCTTACACCCAACACGAATAAACCCTAAACCCTAAACCGAAAGCTAATAAGTTGGGGACCCGACTTGTGGGCAGATCTCTCGTGGCAACTTCAAAACGGAGATCCCGGTGCATCGACTTCCTTGTAACGTCCTGGGATCCGAGCGAAACAGCGTCGGTGACTCCTTCTGCACACTCATAGAGATCCTCATCCCTGCAAAACCCCTTGCAGATACTGACATTTTTCTCGTACTTCGGAAATGACAATAGATCTCAGACATTGCTCCGAATGCCCAGTATATCCCAGTATAATGCAGCGTTTCGGCGTCCAATGCTCCTCTCACTCGCTGAAACGCTTCCCCAAAACGCCACAAAACGCAAACCAGAAAACAAAACACAACCACATATACAGCACAAAATGCAAACAAACACATCGACATCATAACATGCCACGCCTGCCACGGTTTTTGAAGATACCACTGTCGATGCTACTCAAGAAACAGCTTAAAATGTAATTGTTTTGTCTTGCGTTCGCGCCTACGATAAGCCGTCTGCGTGCGTGTTGTAACTGCTTGTAATCAACTAAAAATGACAATTTCCTAGGGTTTTTGACACTTCCTGACAAAGCTCCGACCTGCTCATGTACTCAAAGACCTCCGCGACCTGGTGTTTACGAGGCGAAATGCTCCTGCATATTTCCTGTGTTTTTGCCACTGTCTCGATTTCTTCTTGTTCTAGCAACGTACAAAGCGCAAATTCATCGAGTTTTTGACACTTCCTGGCAATTCCGTCCATGAGCAGACCGAACAAACACACACTGTGTTGGCATCTTCGTGGCTTCAAGATACTCTTGCTAGCACGTGCAAAACAGCAATTTTGCGAGTCTTGGTTCGTTTTTAGCAAAAGGTGTCATTTCCGCACCCACAAGAATCAACAAACATAGTGTGTTTGCAGTGTTCTTCCCGTTCTGCTGCGCGCGGGCGCGCGTGAACAGGGCGTCGGAGCGTGGTTTTGGTTACATAGCGGAGATTTTGGGGTAAGTCGAGAGGCTTTCAAGGTGCCGGGGTGAGGCAAGGAAACCCTGGCTCCCCCTCAGGCTCTCAGGGCATCTCAGTCTCAAGATGCTTGAAGGGTGTAGAGCTCGAAGGAGTGGTCTACTTCCGTGAGGAACCGGTTCCCCTAAAACTCCGACACCCCTAAGCCCCTAAACCAAAACCCGGAACATCCCTTCTGTGGCAGGCTACCTGGTGCAGGTGTGCGACTGGGAGCACCTTGACAGTGGCTTGTGTTTTTTGTTTGCTGAGTTAGGGCAGTTAGGGTTAAGGGTTTGCTGAGTTAGGGCAGTTAGGGTTAAGGGGTTAAGGTGTTTTGCATGAGGGTAAGGGCCTCCAAACGTGAAGAAGGCTCCAAAACCCGTCGGTTCTAAATCTCTGAAGGGCCTGACTTCTTGAGCAGCCGAGGATTCCTGAGGGCACTAGCAAAGAGAAGGCTGCACCGTCGCCCGCGGAGTCCGTGGAGGACGAGGATTTGGTTGAGATCTGAGGGCAGATTAGAAATTGTTTTCCTGGCTTTTTCTCAAGTTGCTCGCAAGCTGTGCTTAAAGCCTTCGCTTGCAGCATGAACCAGAACCTCTGTTTAACCTGTCTCCGGCCGGGTTCTAGACAGATCCGCCAGGCATTGCTCCCCAAACGGCTTAGCCCCACAAGGCTCAACATAGAGGAATGCAGCTTCAAGCTTTGAGATGGTGCAGGGGTTTAGGGTTTAGGGGTTTAGGGTTTAGGGTTTTGGTTGTTCGGGCAGTGTGAGCTCGGTGTGCTTAGCATACTCAGAGAATCATCATCTCAGCTGATGCGAAAGGTAGATCTTGGAGGCAAGAACGTGTAACCCCTAATCTGTACGCGTAGTTGACCAGTTGACCGTAACCCAGAAAGGTTGACATGATCATTCAGGAAGTTGCAGGACTGCATCCATAAGTCCAAAGTCTGTTGCCCTCAGTCAATCCATCCTTGGCGAATCGTATGGAAGGGATTCCTATTGGACTGGCTTATGGAACAATGGAAGCCAGACGACTATCTGAAAGTTCTGCTAACCAGGAAAGTGCAGCATCAAACTGTGGTATAGTGTAGCTGAAGCAGTGTAGATATGGTATGTATCGTATAGAGTGAAACCCTAAACCCTATCCCCCTGTGATTGTGCTATTGACCAGCCCAGCAGAACTGTGCCTCGGAGCTCTGCATTGTCTGGCATGTGGGTGGTTTTCAAACTTAGGGTCCCTTTTTGGGTCCTTATTATAACCTAAAATTTAGGGTACCCAAAAGGGACCATAGTTTTGACAACCACCCATGTGGGTAAGATGCCAAGAACCCTGGCTGAGAGCATGCAGTTGCCCTTCTATGCTGCAAAAGCAGCGAATGCGAACACTTCGAAGAAGTGATCGCGAGGTGGAATTGCTGCGCAGAACTCTGTTTTCTACATCTGCGCAGCTCCGATTCGGCTGCTGGCAAGGAGCTTGGAGCTGTGAAGCGGCAAAAGCCGATTCTTTTCCGATCTCGGGGCCTCGAGGCCTCAGGCACTCCAAGCGGCAACGGTTTTCTAACGCTCGGTCTTCTGCCTGCATCTAAGAAGACGAGCAATTTCTTTCGTCGCGAAAAATCGGATGAGATCCTGCATCGCGCAGAGGTGAAATGGCCCTTTGCAACCGAAATCCACGCCCTCCGGGTGAAACTGTGTGGACACCTGTGGAGACGGACATGTGCAGTCACAAGATTCGTAGACCCGCATCGATTCGATTCGTTTCGTAGCGCTATGTAGAGCTTGCAGGCATTGTGAGATCGTTGAGGTATTGACGTTGTGTGGGTCGTCCAGCTTTCAACCTCCTGCACTGATGCTGATCTATTGCCGAATTTCTTTCGTATGCAACTCCTGGCGTTGCTCTCAAGAGAAGCTCGTCCTGTTCCGCAGCTTCGGGCCAGAGCAAGGTATTGTTTCCCGACCACATCCTCGACAGCAGGGCTGTGTGCTTTCAGAACCGCTCAGGTTTCAGTGGCATAGCGACATCGTGTCGAAAGTCGTTGAGTAGACTTCCAGCAAATGACCGTAGGTTTAACCAAACCTCTTGCAGCCACAGCACCTCGGATTGCAACTTTCCCAGCAAGCCGCAGCTGCAGACGGTAGCACGAAGGGAATAGCAGAACCTAGCGCCACCACGACCAGCAGTACCGTGTTCATATCCGAGTCTCCAGAACACTTGCCAAACGATGTGGAATGGGCTGCTACAAGCTGTGGAGCGCCGATGGCGACGGGACCCGAAGCCTTCAATGAGGGTTTAGGGTGTAGGGTAATTTTGGGGGCGTAAATAATATCCAATACTATTCCAAGACGGCCACAACACTTGTGCCAAGCACAGCGGTGACGAGAACGACACCCACGGCCATTGTAAAGGCAGAGGAATAGTGATAGTGGCGGCACTGGGAGACTGCAAGAACAGTCAACGCAATGTGGTCATGGTCGATGATCTTATGCTGGATAGCGGTGCTCGGATAGCGGTCACAGCAGTGCTACCGAGATGTGCTTGTATCATATACACAGCTAGCAATCGAACATGATATTGTAGGAACCTGATTAAGAAACCCCGAGCCCATAGCCCCAAAATAGTAGGATTCATATAGGAACCCCAATAAAGGCCCAAGGTTTCTTAATCAGGTTCCTACATCATGAGTCAAAGAGCCTGTGCCGAATGTTTCAGGGCTTGGGCCACTGACACAGACCATATCTACCCAGACAGACCCCGGGGAGGATCTAAGGGTACTTTATAGGAGCCCCATTAAGGGATCTACTTTTTGGATTTTTCGGGGTTCTGGGTACATACGAAATCCTTCTCTAAACTCGAATTAACCCTTCAACCCGAAGCCCTAAGCCCTAAATCCTAAACCCTACACCCGAAAGCTCACAACCCTACTCGTGAACCCTGAACCCTAAGCCCTCTAGCAGGAATTTCGTTCGACGGCGCTCCCCTGGGGTCCGAGACTACGGTTGATGATGCAAATCCTGCATTACCTTAAGGACCCTAAACTATGGGGATTGTGGTATATTCCTTATTAGGGGTAATGCAGGATTTATATCATCAACAGCAGTACTGCCAGGATCATGGGACTTAGTAACGACGGCTATGATCAGGGTAACTGTACTTATGATGACTTACAACCTCAATGAAGGTACTGAGAACCCTACTTACTAATCCCCAGCATCCTCCAAGTAGGCACTCTTCTCTCGGGTGGCAGATGGTCCAGTCTTGTACCATACCTGTGTCTGTTGCCTCACAGCAACTAAGCACGAACATCCTGAAGTCTGCGGCCTAAGCCATAAAAAAGCCTCAGCCCTGAACCCGTAGTTTGGATGCAATGGCTAAAAGACACGAGGGTTCAAAAAAAAAGAATAAGCTTAGATACAAGATTGCTTCTTCATCGCAGGACAGCGATGCTCGGAATTCTCAGCTCAAGGCTGGGTGGCGGTAACCGGGTCCTTGTGATCCAACCCATGACCTCTGATGATGATATCTGCTCGCAGATGCAACTTTCGACGACCAGGTGCATGCACCTGGGGTTCCCACTTTCCTTTCGTGAGATGCAATACGAAAGACGGCAATGTCGCTTTCTCCCTGCTACTGCTGCTGCTAATGCTGCCTAGCATCGAAAGATCATCTCCTTCTTAGCGGCTTCGAGCATGACACTTGCTGCGTTGAGCAGGCCCTGGTAACCTGACTCGAATGCTGCGAGGGATTGGAAGCGGCAGGTGCTAGAGTGTTTTCAGGGACTATTCGGTCCGGCAGCATGGGTTGTGGCTGATGTTCGATGGGTCACAGCGCACCGGGGGGTCTTCCTGTCACGAAAAGCCTCTTTTGTCACTCTGTTTTTGGAATTGCTGCAGTTATTGGGTGGTGCGGGCGTGGTGATCGGCGCAGTGCTGCTGGTGGTTGTGGCCTCAGCTCGCGGACAGAGCTGCCCAGGACGGGGTGGTTCAGAGCTTCGTTCTATTGGTTGACGTGATTATTCAACATGAGTCTTTTTTACCTACTAGCATTGCGATTATTATTGCTTCTGTTACTAGTATTTTCATCTTCTTACTTTTCTAACCAGTATCCGTATTCTTCCTACTCGAGTTTTTTTATTCGCATTGGTACTGTTACTACTGTGGCAGTATCGTTATCAGTGTTGTTATGAGTAGTTTTAGTGCTATTCTCATTACCTTAACTATTGTGAGTTTAAAACAACCGCTACCATTGTGCGCTGTTGTGTTTCACTACCAATATCACTATTGTTACTAGTAGCATTAGCATCACTACTACTGTTACTATTTTTCTTACCACTATTATTCGTATCATGAGTATTACTTTTGTTTTTTTACGGTTATTGTGAACATCATTGTTTCGATTTTTAGTTTTAGTATTAAATCTCCACCATAAAACCACCTAGGCCTAGAGCGCCAAGACCTGAATCTCACGAATCGTCGAAGGCACGACGCCTTGCAGCGAAGTCCCAGCCTCCACCAGCCCTGAACCCGGAAGTTTCCAGCAGCTCACAGCTTCAGGGTTTAGGGGTTTAGGGGTTTAGGGGTTTAGGGGTTTAGAAATTAGGAGTTTAGGGTTTAGGGTGCAGGCTTTATGGTCTGGGGTTTAGAGTTTAGAGTTTAGGGCTAGTACAAGGATTTCTGGGAGGCTTACTAGACGGGTTGGGTGCATAGGGCTACGATGTGGGGTGCAGCGCTCAACTTTTTTCCTCAAGGCTTTGGTTTATCAGGTTGAGGGTTCAAGGCTTGAGGCTTGGTTTAGGTTTGGAGTATGTCGGGGTTCCTAGGGTTCCTTCAAAGGGGCCTGTGAAGGCTACTAGAAGGGATCTATAGTGGGGCGAGGTTTAGTTTAGGTTTGGAGTGTATAATTGGGGTAACTCCATTTAGGGTACTTATAACTCTACTTATACTACTTACTAAGTCCCCTGCCCCTCCAAGCAGGTTCAATTCTAGGAGTCGAGTCGGATTGCTTTTCCTAGTAGTAGTAGTAGTAGTAGTAGTAGTAGTAGTAGTAGTAGTAGTAGTAGTAGTAGTAGTAGTAGTAGTAGTAGTCGTGGTGGTGGTGGTGGTGGTGCTGGTGGTGGTGCTGGTGGTGGAAGTTGCAGTGGTAGCGGTAGTGGTCGTTGTCGTGGTGGTGCCGCGAACTTAATGCGGATTTGTGTGGCAGGCGTGGTACTCCAGGAAACTGCCCTGCCCTGCGCTGCCCTGCAGTCGTAGTCGTAGTAGTCGTCGTAGTAGTAGCAGCAGCAACAGCAGCAGCTGCAGCAGTTATTACGACAGTGGCGGTAGTGCTAGCAGGGTGGCATTGGCTTCGGTGATAGCAGAAGCAGCGTAAGGCTTAAGGCCTCTCGGGACTACTTTAATCGGTATGCGTTCTGCAAGTACAGTGCAGGCCATGTATCATGTACTAGCAACGCCGTGATTGCTCCACTTCTGTGTCCATGCCGTAACCATGACTAGGACTACTTCCAGTCGGCTATAGTTACTGCAGTTTTTGCAGCAACCCTGCGACCACCGGCTCAAAGACGTACTGAAACTTGTGCTGTGACCAACATGGCGGCTGGAATCTCATGGCCGCTTCTCTTACTTTCTTTGGTAGCAGTTTCTGTGGCATCAAGCGGAGAGCTCGCTTGCCTGGAGGACGACTCCTTGGGCTTTACGGCCCTCGTTCAGACAGATCAACATCGGAGGCATCGCGCGCTGCAAGCTGTCGGCACCAACCGTAGCCGAGCGCTGCCGACTTCTGGGAGCCCCCCGGTTCCCGACGTCAGGGCCTCCTTCGCGGCCATGGGGCAAAATGGTCAGGTGATCAAGGTCAACAAGGGAAGGCAGGTGCATTTCTCCGTGATCCCTTAACCCCTTACTCCCTGTAAGCCTGAAACACATCCCTGAAATCCGACGACCCCTGCAGTGTGTGGCCTCTGGACCACTATAAGAACTACATGCCTCCGTATGCTGAGCACATCGAGTCGATCCAGCGCTTCAAGGGCAACTACCTTGTCTTCTCAGGAGCCTGAGAAAGGTTTAGGGGTCCCTTTAGGGTTCCGTTAAAGGGATCTATAAGGGGTCCTTTAAAAGGGATCTGCAGGGCTTTATAGGGTTTAGGGTTTAGGGTACTTAAAGGATCATGGGACTTAGCAACTAGAGTTATTATTAAGGCAACTATACTTATGGTTACCCCAATTCGGGTACCTTTTCACTTTGCTTACTAAGTCCCATGATCCTCCAAGTAAGAAAGGCCCAGAGCCATTACCTATCCCCTTCTGCCAAGGCTCTCCCGAAGATTTTTCAATGGCACGTAAAGTCGTGATGATCAGTATTACGCAAGTCACCGTTATATGTCACCATCACTTGTACTTTTGCCATCATTCTCTTGCCATACATGTTTTCTTCGCCATGCAATGGACGACCCAGAGACCCGAATCTCCCTTAATCCTAGCTACGTATCCGTGCACCGAGCATCGGGTTGGGGACTGAGACTAACCCACATCGGGCTTGTGGAAGTTTCCTTTACCCTTAATCAATGAAGAAGTTTTTGACAAATGTAGCTGCCTTGTGCTGATTTAGGGAAGATTGCTTAACGAAGTCTACGCGGAATATTGGGGGCTCTCTGGGGAGCTCTTGGACGGGCAGGAGCGGAAAGCGACGCGGGCGACCTCTTCATTGCCGTTTTGCAGGGCACTGGCTCGGGCCCTCTTGGCCCGCTGAGTGGGCAGGTGCGGGTCTTAAGCAGTGTTTAGGGTTTTCTGTTTAAGGTTTGGGGCGTTTGGGGTGTTTGATTTGGGGTGTTTGGGTTTGGGGAATTGGCGTTTTAGGGCTTTAAGGTTTCCGGTATGGGGTTTAGGAGCCCAAACCCCAAACTCCAGCACGTTTTGGAAGAGACTCGTTGGAGATATGCAAGACGGTACTCACACAAACTGTGTTTTGAAACCGGGAGTACAGTAAAGCATTAGGCAGAGAGGAGCCTATGCCTCTTGGGCCAATGCCCGAGGTTGTGAAGCGGGTGATCGTGGACTCGACCCTGACCCATGCTGGTGGCCTTCAGATCAGTGGGGATTTGCTGGCAATTGGGGCCGAAGCGCAGTGCTCACCCATGCAAAGAGTGTTTGGAGGCTGCAGCAAAAGATCGCAGGTTTTCTTCTTCGACGTGTCTGATCCAACGAACCCAGTCAAGCTACCTACTGTGATTGACAGGCCCGGTAAGACTGCTGGGGCTGTCGGAATTGGACGTCAGGAAAATGGTAAGTGGCTAGTAATGGTGGGTGATGGTGACAACAACAATATCGATATCTACTCGGAGGGGGATGATGGATCCTTCAGCCTCATAGCATCTTGGAGCAAGTACGAGCTTCTGAAGGATGCGGGCGTGGCTGGTGGCTACAAATCCTACCAGAACATGAACATTCTCCTCCAGAGCGATGGGCAGATTTTCATCGTGTGCACCGCGCTCTCTTCCATGATCATGGGCTCTGACTACTTCGATCTCTTTACTGTGCAGCCTTCTGAGGGCAGGGCTACGATCACCATGGTATCCTCCAAAAAGGCCCGGGTCACCCTAAACCCCTAAACCCTAAGCCCTATAAACCCCTAAAGACACAACCTAAACCCTAAAAGCCCTCAACGCGGATTCTAACCGCTCCACAGAGCCAGCGCAACTTCCGGGTTCCAAAATCGAAACACGGAGGGGCCGTAATGGAAGAAGCTCGTTGGTAGTGGTTTAGGGCTTGAGGGTTTGGGGTATAGGATTGGGTTCACTCCTGGTTTGAGCAAATTCCTGAGGCCACCTGCCACGGTTGTACCTTCGCCGCTGGCGCAGGGATCTATGTGAATCCGGAGAATCCTTCACAGATGCTGGGCTATGCGTCGGGCTGGTTGCCCTCTTCGAACTCGCTTTCAAGCTTTCCAGCGAAAGGCGATACCATCTTCGTCAACGAGTTCTGAATCATTTTATGTAGGCTGCAGTGGGCTACAGTATCTTTTGTTCGGGAGTTAGCTGCATGCTTCTCCCCTCAGTGCCCGAAGCTCATGAGCCACTGCAGAACGTTTTGAAAGATCCAGAGATGCCCGCAGCGCGCGTGGTCTCCTCTGTGCGAGAGCCATGCAGGCAAGTCGTTCAAAAAGAGCTCAGAGGAGCCAGGGTGGATAGGTTTGAACGAAGCATGGTTCAGGGTTTCGAACTTTCGCCTCTGTTTCGCATTTGCTGTGAAGATCCGTGAAGGTGCAGTGTTGACATGCCGAATGTACAAGTGCCCACTTCACGGCGAAACACAAAAAGTCTTTGACACAGACTCTTGTTTGACGATCGTTGCGCCGAGGTGTACATTGCGCTGTCTGCTGCGCTTCAGCTCTTGAGACAGAGGAAAGTACAGGCCCGGTGGTGGGGTGTGGAGCACTGTTGAAAGCTGTAAGGTAGTATGGCCGTAGAGAATGTACGAGCAGCAAAAATCCTGAACACTCAAAACGATTGCACGTTCGGGCCTGATGAGAGGAAGCGACAGCGGTGCGAAACTCTGCTTAAGTCTTTGATGGTTGAGCCTGTTCCGGGCCTTCCTCCAGCATGGCTGCAGAAGCGCCTGCAGAGGTAGTATTGGGTATCCAGTACTAGAGACAGAGAGCAAAGGGGCGTTTCATATAGATACACCATGCATGCATGTATGCACGTGTGCAGTACGCATGTATGCATGTGCGCATGTATGCATGCATGTATGTATGTATTATATATGATATATGTATGCATGTATGCATGTGTACACGTGGCCAATGACTGTAGGAGCTGCTCTACAGCGAGGGCGGCCTCCTGACACTGCAGATGAAGGAAAGCCAGGCAGCTGCCGCCGATTGCATGAGGTTTCGGGTTTGGGGTTTAGGGTTTAGGGTTTGGGGCAATATAGGGGCGTTAATAATCACCTCTACTTTTTCGGGGTTCCTTATCATAATAATTCAACACACCACCAAAACCCTGTTCTAAATATTGAGGCTCCCACATTGTTGGGAAGTCTTCCTGCCTGAAGCTCACAGTAGTTCCTGCTCACAGCGAAAGCAGATACGTGTAATGTAGAGGCCTTAATAGTTAGAATAGGGTAGTATAGCATAATATACCCCCAAACCCTATTCTAATTATTAAAGCCCCTACATCATAGTACCCTGAAAGATCCCCTATAGTAACCCTTACAGATCCCTTTAAAGGAACCCTATTCTACTTATTAAGGCCGCTACATTACCTGTACATGGCCAGGCGGGCTCTCGATTTCTTTCTCAGCTTGTGCCTGGCAGCGAGGAGAGCGCTCCAAGTTTGGGGGTTGTTCAGCGTTTAGGGGTTTAGAGATTAGGGGTTTAGGGTTTAGGGGTTGGGTTTAGGGGTTTAGGGGTTTAGGGCTTGGGGCTTGGGGCTTGGGGTTTGGGGTTGAAGCGTGCAAGGGCCGTGGCTAAGGGTCTGAGTTCAGCTGTTAAGGCATGGCCTAAACATTCAATGGCTTCTACGGTTCAGGGTTACGACGTTCGGGGGCAGTTTTGGGATTATCTGGGCCGACAGAAGTACAGAATCTGTGAGGCCTAGATGTTCACGGGTGCACCAGGGGTTCAGGCGTCGGTTTTCAAGTAGTTGGCTAGTAGTTGGCTCCGAGGCGGAAGACCAAACATAGGAGCCTCGACAGGTGAAGGATTCCTTTATGACCCTTATGTAATCCTAGACGAAAATGATCACAAGGGTGCACTCCCATACTTCAAAGTCCCGCTGCTAGCCTCGCAGTCGCAGGCGAAGGTTTTCGACGTGGCCGATGAGGCAGACGCTACGACGATGTTGCTAAAAGTTACGGAGGATGCTGAAGGTGACAGGCTCCTTCTTCGATTGCTCTAGGATGGAGCACAGGCAGCCAGGGGTGAACGCTCCGAAATGCAGTGGGGCTTGGCACCTACATTCATTTGGAGCTTTCGCGGCACTCCGAGCCCTAGACCCAATAGACCCTGTAGATCCTGAGCCATAAGCCATACTTCATAATATTACACTATGTATGTACGTATACATACATACATACATATATATATATAACATATATATATATATATAATATAACACACACACATATATATATATATATGTATATATATATATAACATATATATTTATATATAGCATATATATATATATATATACACACAGACTTACATATAGAGGTTGATATGTACAGAGTATGTATAACCCAGCTCTGAGCCGTGCGCTCTTGTAGCAGGCCCTGGTCTCCCTCCGCTTCGCGGCACCAGCAAAGGGCACCTCCCAGGCTCCCCGGAGCCATGAAAACGCCTGGCCCAGGATTTTAGCGGGTGTGGGGTAGGGTTTAGGGTTTAGCGGTTTAGGGGTTTAGGATTTCGAGTGTTTAGGGGTTTAGGGTTTAGTGTGTTGGTAGTAGCTGTTGTGTAACATAGAATCCCAAACGATTACCAACATTACTCCGTAGGATCCTTGATTACGGTTCAGAACCTGATCATGAAATCCTTGCCCTATACCGTCAAAATATTAGGATTCATAGTCAGTGCCCTAATACAACTAGGGTCTCTTAGTCAGGTTCCTACACTGTAATACTTGAACAGGCCCTTTAGAGTAGGAGTTGGAGAACAGAGAGGACGCAAGAAGAGGGGAGTTCCTAAGCCCTAAAACCGTAAATCCTAAGCCCTAAACCCTAAACCATAAACCCTAAGCCCTAAACCCTAAGCCGTAAGCCCTCAACCCTAAGCCGTAAGCCCTACACCTTCAACCCAAAAGCCTGAAGTTTCTGTCTCGAGGGTCCCCATCCTCAGTCTTCAAAAAGGATCCACTTAAAGGGACATGGGACTTGGTAACAAGGGTTATCCTTAAGGTGACTATACTTATAACTACTTATAACCCCAGTTAAGGTACTTAGAACCATACTTACTAAGTCCCAGGATCCTCTAAGCAAGTCCAAGCGGCCTCCGGAGAGGCGCTCTCCTTGCTGCTGCCCTTGATCTTCTTATTTGTGTGGTATCAGGTTGCAAAGTCCAGGCCTCGGAAGCTTGTCGACTGCATCGGTTTAGGGCTTTGGGTTCAGGGCTTAGGGTGTAGGTTTGACGATTAAAGGTTTAGGCGCAGCCTTCCAGCAACCGCTCGTGTTGCCATCACCATCTGAACAGCTTGGCTGCGCAGTAGCATCGCGTAAGCCGCACAACTGAGGTCACTGATCACACGAGAAAACAAGTGGACACCGACAAGAAGTCGTCTGCGGACCGTGCCTGTGTTGCTGGGAGACGGTTCTGCAAAGCGCAGTAGTTGCCGTAGTCCTCCCTAAAGTGCCTTTTGCTGCAGACACCGCCGTCCGGCCAATGACAGGCCCCGAGAAAGAACGACCTTTGCGGACGTTGTGAGCCGCAGCAAGGCTGCCAGCGCTATGCGAGCGGATAGAACTTGTCTCCAGTTATATTATTGAGCTATCATCATAAGATATGATATGTTACATTCAACATGATCCCATTCTATTTATGAGCTAGCGGCGCACACTTCCCCAATGCTGCATGTACCGACGCCCTTCATCCCTTGGTTATTCATAAACCAGCAGGTTGAGCTCAGTGAGATCGTGGAATACCTGAACCACCCTGCGAAGTTTAAGGAGGCGCCCCGACAGCTTGGGGGTTTAGGGTCGGGGGAATGAGAAGTGAAGCTGACTTAAGCAACCGGGTCCAATCCTTCGTTTTGGTCTCGCGAAGTGCTCATTCCCAACCCCACGAATTCCCACAAGGGTTCCCTTAAATGGATCCTTTAAGGGATCCGTTTACCCTGCCCACTGAGCTCGACGATATTCTTCTACAATCTGCAAGAGTGTTCCGACCTCTGTATCACCCTAGGCTAAATCCGAGCGGATAGGATCCTTCATCCTAAACCCTCCTAGACCCGAAAAGCCCAGCCCCAAACCCTGAACCCCAAGTTCTAGAACCCTAAGCCCTCAACCCTGAAGCCTGAACCTCAACCCTAAACCAAAAACACAAGGCCGGTGCGAAAATGCCTCGTGGGGCCCTCCTTGTCGGCTGGGGCCTTGGTATGCCTTTTGGATTCAGGTTCACAAAGATGCGGGGTTCAGAGGTTTGAGGTTTAGGATTGGGGTTTCAGGGGTTTAGGGTGCAGGTTTGATTTGGGTTCCGGAGGCCTGATTACTTGAACTTGGGTTCTATGTCCGAAAACAAGAATCGTACTTAAAGGATCATCCGACTTGGTAACTAGGGTTGTTATTAAGTAACTATACTTATAGCCAACCCTAATTCAGGTACTTACAACCATACTCACTAAGTCCCATGATCCTCTAAGTAGTACGTATGTGGGGGAACCTGGAGAGGGCTGGTCAGCAGGTTCGCCAGCACATGCCAGCAGTGCCAAGCTTGGCTCTGGAGACTTTGTTTGCCGTCTCGCCTGGCTGATCCTGCTGCATACGTCTGTGGCTGGCAGCGTTCCAGGCTGTTTCGGGTCTAGTTGAGGGTTGAGGAGGGTTTGCAAAAAAAGGGGCGGCCAGTTGTCTCCAAGAAGTGGCGGTGCCATCGTCGAATGAGGCCCAAGCGGCACGGGGAAGACCCTGCTGGCGCGAGCAGTTGCCGGTGAGGTGTGGATAAAAGGGCTCCAAGAGTGGGAAGGGGCCCAAACAAATTACCAAGACTATTTTGGGGGGGTTCCTTATTGCATTTATACATAGTAGACTGGGCTCCAAAACCATATTCTAATTATTCAGGCCCCTATGTTACCTTCATGCCACCTTTGGAGGGAGCTTTGCGGTCCTTCAGGGTACCTGCAGTCAACTTCCAAAGAATTTATTCAGGGGTACACCTGGGGCATAGTGGATACCAAGGTTGTGGAGGGTCATGGGTCGTGTTAGCATGCCAGTGCTTTGCCCTTGCCGTTGCTGACCAGCTTAGTAACCCTTCGCCCGCTCTTCCGCGAGCCGTGG